GCAAGAACTTTATATACATTATCCCATTTACTCCTAATACCGTCTGACCTGACCTTCTCTTGTAAGTATGATATTTCCAAGTCTGGAAAGGTCAAGGAACCCAGTTACGGCTTGTCAATGAAGCTGAGATTTGAAAATAGATCTGTTTGGACTCCACACTTACCATTTTTCTATAGCACTCTGCTTTCCCAACAGGAGAGCAGTATGTGAGACTTCTAAGGAAAGGATGCGCACCAGGTGCCTTTGAGAGGGCCTCATGGGCAAAATGCAAGCTGAGCTAATTCCTGAAAAGGAGGAGGATTCAACTTTGGCAAGAAACAGCAGGGACACTCAAGTCTCAGGGTCTTTGCTCAGGCTAATCCTTCTGCCTGGAATGCACTTCCCTCAGGGAGCTGCTTTCATAGCTCACCACCTGGACTAGGCCCGTTCTGACCACCCCTTCTCCCACCGCTCTCTGAGATTCCCTAACCTGCGCCACTTTGTATCCCACTTAAGGCACTTACACTGGGAACTTGCTGTACAATTTAGTGTTTTATCATGTTTATGGTTAGAATAAAGTTTTATCATGTTTATGTTTAGAATAAAGCTTCATGAGCACAGGGATTATCATTTTTTCCTTTTGTTCGCGATACATTGTAGGCACCTAGAATAGTGCCAGGCACTTAGTAGGTACTCAATAATTGTTGTTTGAAGATATAAAGATTTTGAGGTAAGAGTTAGCAAAACATGTTTGAGGCTCTAGAAAGACCAGTCTTATAGAGTGGGAAGGGAGTCCCCCTGTGTTGCATATTCCAGTTGGAAAAATAGAGCACAACCAAACTGTGAGGACTTAAATCCTAAACAAAGGAATTTCTTGGTAGGAATAGAAGAGCTTTCTGGAACTTTTAAGTAACAGTGTGTTAACTTAGTGGTATGAAAGTAATATCCTAGTAACATCTTGTTACCTTTCCTTCATGCTTTTTTGAAGTGTTCTTAGTTTTACCCTGTAAAATTGGCTTAATAAATAGGGGAATTAACTCTCACATATGTAGGAGTCCCTAGGTAAAGCAGGCTTCAAGGTCAGCTGATTTCAGGTTGACTCCCCTCATGATTGCACCCACTAGGGCCAGTCCTTATGCTTGTGGTTCTCTCAAAGCCATGAAACAGAAGTCCTTCCCTTTAGCCTGATTGGGCCAACTGAGGCATTTATTCAGTGTCTGGCATGTATTACATGTTTGATAAATATTTGGGGATTGAATCTTAAAAGGGTGCATTTTTGTAAGAAGACAGCTGTCTTTAGACAAGCTCCACAGCTCCTGCAGAATGCAGGAATGGCTGGAGGAGGCTGAATGGAGCCACACCAGCTCCCAGGAGCTGGAAGTACAGTTGACCCTTGAACAACAGGGGGCTTAGGGGTGCTGACCTGCCCCCCCCACCACAACTGAAAATCTGTGTGTAACTTTTGACTCCCCAAAACTTAGCTACAAATAGCCTACTGTTGACCAGAAGAAACCTTACTAATAACTTAAACAGATTAACACATTTTGTATGTTAATATATATATGATAGTCTTAAAATAAATTAGGGATCAGAAAATATTAAGAAATCATAAGAGAAAATACATTTATAGCACTGTAGTATATTTGTCCAAAAAATCCATGTATACATGGACCTGTTCAGTTCAAACTCATGTTGTTCAACGGCCAATTGTATATATTAATTTTCATGGGAAGTAAATATTTTCCATAATGAGAAGACAGATATGCTCTATTTAGGAATATTAGAATACCTGCAAAGCCCACAAGGCGAAGTGAGTGGACAGTCTTACGGGACAGAGGCACAGTGAAGTCCTCCCAGAAATCACCAATTTCTGTCACTTCTGGTCACTGTGTCTTTTCTTTGGATGTACAGTATCAATATCTTCAAGTTCAAAATCTTGAACTTCTCTTATCCTATGGAACAAGCACTGAAATTAAACTTGTCCATGGAAGATGTAACAAAAAATGTATGTTAAACTTAAGGAAATGATTGATCAATTTAAAAAGTAGAAATTGTTCAAAACACATTCTCGGAACATAGAGTAATAAAGCCACAAAGCCAAACACAGAGTAAAGAAGAACATGATAAGCAGCCACAGAACTTCAAATCAGACATCATAGTATAAATTCCCTTATGTTCTAATTATATTTGGGTTCATTCCTGAAATCCCATTTCATATTCAAAGAACTATCAAAAGTCATCACAAAAGTAAAAGTACAAATATATGCACAGCTCTAAAGATTTGTAAGTACTTAATTTTGATTTAAAGAATATCCTGACAATATAATTTGATTCTGAAAAAGTTTTTTCCACAGAGACATTTTCAAAATAACAGAGCAGAAAGATCATCCCATCTTTCTCATGCAGTTCATAACTCCTTGCAAATCATCTAGCAATTCCAGGTTAAGAGCCCAAGGCTTAGAATGTCTCCTCCTAAGAACCCATGACTGGAAGGTCACCATACCTCCAGCACACACTCAGGACTGAACTGTTGGAACCACATTAATAAAATCTTGCTCAGCAATAAAGCTTGCTTTAAAATGAAAGATGTTGGGGATTATGGCAAAGTAAGAAATTGCCATGGATGCAAGATTTTGAATAATTCATGAGCATCAAATTAGTAACAAAAATGTTCACAAGAGCAGACACTAATTTTTATGCAGCTTTAGGGGTTCAATTAACATTTGTTTATTCAACAAATATGTACTACGGGATCATTATATGCCAGGCATGTATCCCGGTTCTCAAGGAGCTAACATTCTAGTGGGATGAATAAACAAGAAAACAAAAACTAATTTCAAAGAGAGAATGTCTATGACTGTTAAAGAGAAATTTATTTAAAAGAAGAGAAAAAAGAGAGAGCGTCTTCAATCTCAACATCATTTTAATGATTTTTAACAGCTTTAGGAAGAACAGCTCATGGGGAAAAAAATCCCTTGGAGGATTACCTAGTAAGTACACCTTCAGTATGTATAAATACCTACTGGTAGAGTATCTTACGGACACTCAAGTTTGAGAAGCGTCAAGCAAAAACTAAAGGAAAAAGCAAAGGGTACATGTATTTATAGATACCTAGACATTCAAATTCTTCTTCCCTTGAGCCAGCATTCAGATCTGAGGATGGCTGTGGAGAGTGGGAGGTCCCAAAGTGCCACAGTCCCGAGCGCCAATCAGTCCTGAGAGTAAACTTCTTCGTACAACTGCTTTTCATTATGTGCTTCTTAATCCACTGGGACATGTGGCCATGCTCACTGCATTTCTTAGATTAAAGTTAAGAACATGTAAGCCTCTGTAACTTTAGGATCTGTTAATACATTTGTTGTAATGACTAAATTGCATAGTTCTATCTCTGGGGGCAGTCTGGGAGAGGTTAGGGGTTGGGAATTGAGAGTAGATGAAATTCTGCTATGATGTGACTTCAGTGTGGAAGGCAAAGTTAAGTGCTTTTCCTCCAACATGCTCAGGGACATTTTGGGGAATGAGATGCAGTACTCAAGTCACTAGGGAACAATTAGAAGAAAATATATAATATTGTATTAATACAATAATGGCCCCAAAATAGGAACTGTTTATTGAATGTCTATTCTCCAATAGTCCCAAACTTGGTAATTTCTGAAAGGCTCCAGGTAAAGTCATTTATGCAGCTAACATGGAAATCTAGTTTCCTTTACGTTCTGGAGCATCCGAGGGACGGGGTAGATGTGTGCATGCGCGTGTGTGCGTGTGTGGTGAGCGACCAGTTTGGAGGCTGCCGGTTGATTTGGCACTAGACTTGGTGTTATCTGTGGAAATGGTGGCAGGCAACAAATTGGAGAAAGATTAGCAAAAAGAAAACAACAGGCGTCAGCAGTTGGTTAATAAGGATATTGAAGGAGGAAGGAGAATCCCAACCCTGTTTGAACTTGTGGGACAGACATGCTTTTGTCAGTGTCGAGATAAATTAGACTGTGCTTTGGAGGAACACAGAATCCATGAGGTTTGGGGCACGTTGAGTGTGCACTAATGGTGGTAGTCAGACGGGATTTGATTGATGAGGAAGATACAAGATAGCGGTAGCACTGAGTTAAAGGCTGCCTCCCAGTGAGGGCTCTGGAGAGGCCCAGCCCAGCCGCTGTCTGTAAGGGCCGCATAAATATCCTTCGGGTCAGAACCAGTGACCTAGAATGGAGTCTTGGCCAGTTTGTTTCTTGTACCCTATTGGTCACGTGGGCGTACTCTTGTCCTGTGGCTAGCCCCACGGGGAGACCCCTTCAGAGGGTCACACCTAGGCGTGCCATCCATCAATCTCACTTTATGGGAAACACGGCTGACGAGCTGATACAGGTGGCCACCCAAATCCCAGGACCCATGGGACAAAGCTGCCCTGTGGACAGGTGTCTTTCGTGCCTTGGCCCGGGTGCTGTGCAGGGTCATGTCTTACTCCAGCAAATAAGAGATGCTGTAATTAACCCCAGCAGAACAGATGTTCACAGTCACTGTGATACTCATGTGGTTGTGTCAGTTAGAATATTATTTGCAGGGGCGCCTGGGTGGCTCAGTTGTTAAGCGTCTGCCTTCGGCTCAGGTCATGATCCCAGGGTCCTGGGATCGAGCCCCGCATCGGGCTCCCCTGCTTGGCAGGGAGCCTGCTTCTCCCTCTCCCACTCCCTCTGCTTGTGTTCCCTCTTTCGCTGTGTCTCTGTCAAATAAATAAATAAAATCTTAAAAAAAAAAAAAAAAGAATATTATTTGCAGATGCTACCATTTCAGAATGTCTAACGAGACAATCTTGAAAATGGCCTGTGAATTGTTGTGGTATTTCGTTTCCCTCCAAACTTTATTGTACATCTAACTCTATTATGTTTAACCTTTAGTTGATAGATGTTTAAAGCCAAATTCTTAGATTTTGTAAGAAGTTTATTGAGAGTGAATGACATATTCTGTATTTCAGAACCTACTTGGAGTTTCTAATTGTGTTTTTCCCTTCCTTTTCCTTCCACCAGATGAATCGGCTCCTAAGGAAGTCAGCAGGGTAAGTCGTGTGAATATAATTTTGCCACCACAGTATAGGGAGTAAATAACTTGCATACATTTTCTCAGTGCTCTCACATGTGAAAGTATTAGAAAAATAATGGCAAAACCCAAGTGTCTGCTCCGGAGCATCACTCATTAGTATGGAGTGAAGTCAGGAGGGAGAACGGTTGCAAATTGGAGGCCCCCAAAGTGAGTAGCACGAACAGCTGCGTTTTGTTTGGCCCGCACGTGCGTGTGGGGTTTTCTGAATGAGTTGCCAACATTAGAAACTGAGAGACTGCAGGTAAAGAACGGACTTCTGGCTGCTTTTACACTGACACAAACATTCCCAATGTGGTGGCAGGCTGCTCCAGCCAAGGAGCGAAAGCCTCGCTCACGCTCCCCCAGCGAGCAGCTCTAGCCTGCCTTTGAGTTCATGCACCTTGTTTGTGGGTGAACGAAAGGTGACTGCTTGTGTATTCAAGACCGTGGCATTCCTCAGTACTTTTAGAAATATTAAACGCACTGTTTTCGTGTCCAAGAGAAACTACTTAGTGTTAACTTTAAGAGACTTATTAAACTTAAAAGCTTGTGGGGCATGAGTACTGAAAGCTTTTAGCAAACTGTGCTTAGTACTACAAAGTTATAATTCATTGCATATGAAAAATATTTTAATTATATATTCTGTATATAGTAAAGATCGTATATGTGGATTGAATATTGAAAATAATCATTTGAATTGCATCTGATGCAGTCTTAGGTAAGACATCACTAGTATAAAATAGAAACTGAAGTATTGTTCGTAGGATCACATATACAGGTATATTCCTTCACTTTCGATTATCTGAAGAAAGGAATCTCTAAAATGACTGGAGCCATTGCTGGAGACTGGGCAGAACTCGCTCTGTCCATGGCAACCTTTACCGACTCTTAAGGTTTCTGTAAATCTCAGGGTTTTACTGGAGACCTCCACTATTAACAGAGCTCACAACTGGAAAGTTCCCAAGTCTGGGTGCTTTAGGGTATAGCGGGGGCTTGAGGGGTCAGCCTGGAATTTTTGCAGCCACTGGGAGTAGCAGCAAAGGCTAGAAAGGGATGTTTGAAGATAAAGAGGGGATTCTGACAGGAAGAAACAGGCAGAGTCAGAAGACATTGGGGTGTTGCTCTCAGCAGAGCTGCCATCTCGAATCTCTGAAGTCGCACCATGCGCTTTGTAAATGAAGGGTGGCGCGGAGAAATCTACAGCTGGATGAACGTGGGCGAGTGAGGCTGGGAACTCCGTACGTTAGTCTTGAACAAGTGAAACTGGAGTTATCAGGCATCAGATTGGAGATACTTAGAAAGCAAGTGCTTACACTGTTGAGCCAAGAGGAAAGGCCATAGCTAGATACGTAGATGGATTTGGGTCTGTAGCATATAGACAATGCCATGGGATGAAACAACATCACTTAGGCCGTTTGTCTATGGAGAGAAAAGGTCTGAGCGCTGAACTTTGGACGCTCCAGTTGTTTCGTGGAGAAGACGTGGAAAAGTTCACAAAGGAGATGCAGAAGGAAAAGTCAGTAACATGAGGAAAACCAAGAAAACTCCTTTGTCAACAGATTTTTAAAAAATAAACTATAGGACTGTGTATTTATTTAAGCTCCATTTTATCTTGTTTGGAACCATCCCAACACTTTGAGGAAAGCCTCATTCTTAACTTCTGTTACCTAACATTCTGTTTCTGTTTTGAAGCTACAAATCTGAGTAATATTTCCAAGTTCTTTCCCTATGCCCCTTTTCAGTTTATTAAATAAGTAGGGCATTGCTACATATGGAAATTTCACCCATAATAATAATGTGAGATACCATGTCAGATGCCTTAAAAGCAGCATATCCTGGGGCACCTGGGTGGTCAGTTGGTTAAGCGTCCAACTCCAGATCTCAGCTCAGGTCTTGATCTCCGCCTCATGAGTTTGAGCCCTGCGTTGAGCTCCACACTGGGCACGGAATCTACTCAAAGCAAAACAAAACAAAACAAAGCAGCATATCTGAGCAGTCTGCTATATTTTTCTGATTACACATCGTCATTCAGTCACCACACAGTAATTGATCCCCACTCCTCTAGGCTCATTGAGGAAGAAGCTGGACAGAACTTCTCCCATCACAGTGTTTCCGTCAGTGTGAGGGGTAGAGGCAGTAGACACAATAAGTAAATAACACGTGCACTGGGTCAGTGGTAATGAGCACCTGAGAGACAGAGCCAGGGTGCGGGGCGGCGGGGGGCGGGGCAGCTGGGTGGCGGGCTGGGTGCGTGTGCATGTGCAGCCGGGCGCAGCTCACCAGGAAGGTGACTGAGGGAAGACAGAAGGGGCGTGAAGCCGTGAACCTTGCTGAGAGCTGGGGGAAGAGCATTTCAGGCAGGTGGAACAGCAAGGGCAGAAGCCTGAAGACAGGAGGCTTATTGTACAATTATTATTCTTTAATTTTTTTGAAAGCGGTTGCTTTCCTAAAATTCATTTTGCACATATTCTTCCTCTCACATCTCAAAGTAGCTTTATCCTGGGTATACTAGCATGATTCTCACACCTGTGTATTTTGGGTAGTTTTTCTTCTTTTTCTAATGCTGTTATATATGTTGAGAAGTTATTTGTTGACTTCTATTTTTATGTTTGTTTGTCTTTGAATGGTGTTAGGTTTGGTGTTTATGGGTAGAATTTCCTTGTCTCTGCATACTGTAAATGTAAGTGTTGTTAGAATTGTCCTGTTGGATGCTGTGTTGGAATGCTAGCTAGTGATGTTCAGCAACACCGATTAAGTAGGAGGTGGCCAAGGGGAACAGTGAGGGAACAGAGTGGTGGACATTCCCACAGGAGAAATTGACCTATGTTACTTGTCTGTAGGTTGACTGAAACAAATTGTTGTATTGGAATCAACATTTCTTTGTAACGTTTTCATTTTAACCTGTCCTGGTAAACAGTACGACTACATCCAGTCTAGTGATTTCATAAAACTGAAAGAACGCTCAATTCTGTTAGTGAATCCTGCTTTCCTTGAATTTCTCAGTGTGTTTCGAAATTCAGGGCCCTGCTGCATAAACAGCGGGAACTCGCATCCACTGCTCACCATATGCATTTGGGATCCTATGTCATTAATTTCCCCAGAGCATTTGTTATTAACTTAATGCAACAGTGCCATTTCTTGGGACGGGGAATTTTAAGTAAGCCCTTGGTGACTGTTTTCAATTAGGTTTCACTGGCATTAGGTCGCCTTGAAATCGGTGGCACATGGCTGCCGCAATTGCCTGGTTTCTCTGTTTTTATCTTATTTAGTTCTTTAACAAAGTGAGAGGGGGAAGATTATAGACGGACAACTTTTTTTTTAAGATTTTTAAGTTATCTCTACAACCAATGTGGGGCTTGATCAAGAGCCACACACTCCACTGACTGAGCCAGCCAGGTGTCCCTAGAATGACAACTTTTAAATGATTGTTTCTCCTGGGATAGTCTTTTGCTTTTATTTATTTGTTTGTTTGTTTAGGAGGGGGACAGGGAGAGGCAGAGGGAGAGGTGTGCGCACCTCTTTATTTACTTTTTTAAAGATTTTATTAATTTATTTGACGGAGAGAGAGAGCACAAGCCACGGGGAGTGGCAGAGGGAGAGGGAGAAGCACTCCCTGATGAGCAGGGAGCCCGATGCCCAGCTTGATCCCAAGACCCCGGGATCATGACCAGAGCAGAAGGCAGATGCTTAATCCCTGGAGCCACCCAGGCGCCCCAGTAAAAATCTTAAAAAAAAAAAAAAGAGATAAGAATCTTTTCATACTTAAATAGGTGTATTTCCTTTTGTGTGAATTGCATCTCTGTGCCTTTTGTTATAATACATTTAAAAGAGCTTGTCTGATACAGTGTAAATCACACTTAGATTTGAATTCCTACTTTGCCACTATTTATCTGGGTGACATTTTAATAAAACAACTTTTCAAAGCCTCAAATGTAAAGTGGGGATAAAATCAACCAAACTTAGAGGATGCAGCTAAAACAGGATGAAAATTTATATTCTTATATTCATTATTAGAACACCAAAAATAAACTTTTAAAAAGCAGAGGGGAGAATTAATAAGAGAAGTACTTAATGATCAACACTTAAAAATATAGATGTGATTATTAATGTAAGGTATTTTCTTAAATGGATCAATAAAATAGACTATCTTTGGCAACCTCTTCAAGAAGTAAAATACAAATGTTAAGGAATGAGAAAGGGAATATAACTATAAACACGGAAGTTATGAATGATTTAATAGGAAATACTGTATACTAATACATTTGAAAATTTGGACATAATGGCCAATTTTGAGGAAATTCTAAATTATCGAAACTGAAGAAGAGTTAAGAAATCTAAACATACTATTAACCAATGAAAAATCTGAAAAATTAGTGAAAACCACCTAAAATGGCATGATGTCCAAAAGCTTTACTGGGTAATTCCACCAAACATTAAAGAGGAGATAATTTCTACATAATACAAAATATGTATTTCAGAAGTTAGAGAAAGAACTCATTCTAGGAGGGAAGTTTATTCCTGACACAAAAGTTAGAGTATTATAAAAAACAAAAAAACTACCAACCATTTTTACTAGTGGAAACATAAGTGCGAAAATCCTAAGTAAATAAATTCAGCAGCACTTTAATAGTTTTTCATTGCCAGGCGATGGCAAGTAGGTTAGTGCAGTAATCCTATAAGAGATGAAGATGATTTGGACCAGGGTAGCGGGTAATGGAGGTGAGGAGCAGTGCTTGGATTGATAGATGCAATTCTAGATATATTTGGAAGGTAGAGCTAACAAGAGTTGCTGATTAATCCAGATGCACACATCTTATATAAAATAAGAAAGGAGAAATGATGGCATTTCGGTTTTGCCTGAGCAAATGAGAAGATGGGATGCCATTACATGGATGGGAGTGTTTGCAGGAAGTCATCGTGGGGTGGCGAGGTCATCAGGTGCTCAGGTTTGGATGTGCTATTTGAGATACCTAATAG